ATGAAACAGGTTTCAATTATACGCCAACCAGGCTCTGATACCACTGTTGGAGTTTTGGAGATCCCTAAACATGCGTTCATAACGGTTTCTAGGGTTCCAATTTGGGTTTCACGCAGCGAAATAGATTAAACGAAACCCAAACAACAGATCTTACATATAATGATAAATGTATCGATATACCAACCTGTTTTGATCCAAGGACCTGTCACAAACGCTGAAATCCAACGTTCTCTACAGCTAGTCTACACTCACGGGCTTGCGTCTGCTAGAACATGATCTGGAGGTCGGGAACGAAAACCGAGATGATCCCGGGAGAGAGAGAGGACGACCGAATTAAGAGAGAGAGAATTCGAAATTCTCTTCTTATTTTCTTAACCCTAAATTATGTTTCCTAAACATAATTATAAAGTGATTAGGTTTCATTAAACCAAATGGGCCTAATGAGCATTTACTTAACTATTAAGAGAAAACAAGCCCATTAACCACATTAATAAACATATGGGCCCATTGGACCACTTAAACCCATCCAATGGATTTCTAATCAGTTTCACAAACCGATCGTGGCCAGAGCACCATATCCATCAATATGCATGTATATGTATATCTATATACATTGTATATATGTGTATATATCTATTTTTATTATTTAATTATTTAATTATTTAATTATATTAATTTATTATTATTATTAATTTATTTATTATTTATTAATTTTAAATTTTATTCTTACGTGACGATGATATGACCATTATTATAAGAGAGTAGAATTTTCGTTTGTCTATGTGATGATTATTTGAAGATAGGGATTATATGGATAATAATTTAAAAGTATATGATTTGTTTTGAGATAAACCGATTGTAGATGTGTTTTTTAGCTAAAAACATTACAGGTATTTAACTAAAACGGGAAAAAATATAGATATTTTCCGGTGATTAGTCCAAAAATATATTATCTGTTACAATACTCAATGTGATGACATTTGACCCGTGGAAAATAAAAAATATTCTTGCGACTTTTTTTTATGACTCTGGTTACACTATGCGATTTGAAGAATTCTATAGAAATTGTGTTTGAAATGATGTGGAAAATTATAAGGATGAGAGTATAAAATAAAAGGGGAACTAAGTCCCTTGTTGTAATAACCATTAATTTACAAAGGCACATGTGAATATATAGACTAAGTGAACCAACGTCTACTTGAATGAAAAAAGGGAAGAATATAAAAATAAAATATTTACAAAGTGGGATAAGGAAGAAATCATTTAGGAGTATCTTCTAAACGGTCACATGATTGATGAGTGAATGCTGACCGAGATTGATTGATGATTTACTCAACCTTTCCTTATTTGTTTAGTTGATAATGTGCCAAGATTGAGAAGCCACATCATAAGGAAAGTATTCATCTTTTACGTTGAATGTGTGCATGGATTTGCATGACAAATGTTTCTTCTTTTTGACATCTTCTTTTGCATTCTTTGTCTTCAACACTTAGCTCAGTTGGTAGAGCGGAGGACTGTAGTCGACGCAGAAAGATCCTTAGGTCGCTGGTTCGAATCCGGCAGGTCGGAAATCTTTTCGGTGGTGAAACTTGTCTTCAATCCTATGTTCCTTTTATTACTGTACTTTTGAATAACTTCCAATATAACAAGGCAGAATTGTTTTTTTTTTAATTACCTACCTTGCTAAGGACAACATGGGAGCTCTGTGGATGCTCAGTTCATGAATGAACTTCACATCAATCATTGGGCCACAGTTCTAAGGAAGCCCTCACAGTCAGAGAATCTTGCAGTGGCTGATGAAGTCAATCCTATGTTGCTTTTGTCCACTTTGTTCATTTCTTGTAATATATGATTCTCATTTTCATTTCTGTTCGCTTACTGTCATCTTGCAATGTTTTATTTGGGATCTACTAAAATATGTAGGTATCATTGGACAAAATAACTTTTTGGGGTGAATTGTAATTATTCATAGTTTAGGGTACTTTTAGATAAAAATGATAATATACGGGTATATCCGTAGCGGAGATCAAATTCAGGGATCCTGGTGCAATTTCAATATAGTTCAGAGCGTACCGACCTAATCGAAAAGGAAACCGAACCGGATATGGGCTAACAGTAACGCATACGTATATTTTCGTTATAATGTTGCAGAAAAAAAAAATATCGAAGTCCCGATTGTCTGTATGAACAAATCAAGATTCAAGACCATCGCTCTCGTCATTCTCACACTTGAAACACGAAGAAGTCCTGTGTGATTCTCATACTAGCTTCTCGAAGGTTCTTCCGCCATGGGAGCTACCAGAAAGCTTCAAGGAGAGATCGATCGCGTCCTCAAGAAGGTTCAGGAAGGCGTCGAGGTCTTCGATAGCATCTGGAACAAGGTCCGATTTCTGATTCTTCTTCTTATTCTACTTGTTCTTTTCCTAGAAAAAAATGAAAATTGGAGATAGGAAAATCAAATTGCCATTTGTGTTACTCGATTATGGATTGAAATTGTGAAATTCTACGTCTCTGGGTCGCTATGTAGGATGCGAAGATTTCAAATCGGTCATCATTTGTTTGTTATGTGATCAAATCTGGAAGTAGTTCAGCTCTGATACTATGTCTCGTCTGTGTTCTTGTTTTTCACCTTGGAAAATGAAGGGAAAGTTGTTTGAAATGTAGGATATGATGCAGAACTGGCTAGATGTTTGGACCGGCTCTGCTGATTTTCTGATTTATGTCTAGTACAGTTTCGTAAAGGATTGGAGCTTGGTTTTCTTGTTGTTTAGGTTTACGACACAGATAATGCTAACCAAAAGGAGAAGTTTGAGGCGGATTTGAAGAAGGAGATCAAGAAATTGCAGAGGTATAGAGATCAGATCAAAACATGGATTCAGTCAAGCGAGATCAAGGATAAAAAGGTGTAACTCATCCTGTTTTGTAACTCTTTTTACTGCTTGCATGGTGTTTGTGATATTACATTTTTGGTTTGCGTTTTCTCAGCAAAAAGGATTCTGCGTACAAATTTTTATTTTATCTGCTATAACAATGAGTTTTTACTTTTTAGCATAGTTATCAGACAACCTGATCAAAACTAAAAAAAAAAATCTTAAGTCATTCTATAAGGTCATCTATATATAGACAAATTTACAAAAACACTTATCAAATATTCAGATCTCTCTGATGAATTTGCAAAAGCTGGTGGTCATTGCAAGTGATCTGATTGATGGCACGGTTGTTCACTTTCAGGATGTTCAATGTGTTAATAGCTGCAATGTAAATGGGTTTATGTAGTAACATGGTCCTGCATTTCATGTCACTTCAATATTCCGTGTTTTATCCTATTACAAACATTATGTATGTGTTTATTCAAACCTGATTTTCATCCTCCATGTTTTACTATGTAGAAGGCATTGGCTGCGTTAAATGCAGCCATTATGTTAGTTATCTCGTTGATACGTCTCTGTCGATGTTGAATGACGCTACCGGGACATGGTGACTTTCTCAGAGGAGGCATAATTGATTTTGTTTGACCTGTTTTCTGCAGGTCAGTGCTTCCTATGAGCAGGCCCTGGTGGATGCCCGCAAACTTATTGAGCGCGAAATGGAAAGGTTTAAAATATGCGAGAAAGAAACTAAGACAAAGGCATTCTCTAAAGAGGGTTTGGGTCAGCAACCAAAAACGGTAAGCAATCTATGGATTTTTGCTTATCAACATATAATTCAAAGGCATGTGACATGAATTATGTTTTATTGTTTTACTTATTTTATTCCTGTTCTTTGACGTTCAAACAAGTGATGAACACTTAGGGAATGCATCTTTTTCTTCTCGTTGTTCCTTGTCTTTTTGTTCAATATCACGTACCTTCATGTGTGCACCCTTTAATTGGTCGTGCTGAAGAAAATACTTAAAGCATGGAGCTTAATTTTCGATGAAAGAATTTTCTTCCATTCGAACTACGTATATGTCTGTTAAGCGTTTCTTGGTCAGGATCCAAAGGAGAAGGCAAAGTCCGAGACAAGAGAATGGTTAAACTCTGTGGTAAGAACATAAGCTCTTTCCTTTTTGTTAGTGGATTCTTAACCACTTGTTTAAGCAATCAAAGAGAACCTTGTTTTAATTTCAAGTTTTGTCAGCTCGGTAGTGTCCATGTCATCTTGAATGACCTTAGTTGGTAGAACTTTGCCTTTTGAGAGTTATATGCTATCCGAGTGCTTTGCTGATTGCAAGGAAATTGTCTGTTAACTGTTCTAGGTATGGTTGATGTTTAGTGCTGGCGTATGGCATGTAAAATTTACTAAAGAAGCCAAATTAACTTTTTCGGTTTTGTCTCATACTGGAATCAATAGTAGTCTGATACACTCTTTATTCCTGCAGGTTGGGGAGTTGGAGCAACAGATTGATAGTTTTGAAGCAGAACTTGAAGGACTGACTGTTAAGAAAGGGAAGACAAGACCTCCTAGATTGGTAGGATGAAGGAGAAAATTTAGATATCTAAAATGGCTTTGATTTTTTTAAATTAATTTATTTTCCTTCATCAGACACATTTGGAGACATCCATAACTAGACACAAGGCTCATATAATGAAGCTAGAGTTGATCTTGAGGCTTCTCGATAACGACGAGTTGAGTCCCGAACAAGTTAATGATATCAAAGATTTTTTGGACGACTATGTGGAGCGCAATCAGGTTTGTGTTTTTCAGTTTTCTGAGCCAACGTTATTGACTGTTTAAAACATTTGCTTTCACAAAGTTGAGAATCTCCTGGAAGAGGAGTTCTATGCTCTTTTATACCTTATTATCTCACTTGAGCAATTGTTCCCATTTTCATGTTTTAAGGTTGTTAATACATAATAATGCTTTTCTAGGATGATTTTGATGAATTTAGCGATGTTGATGAGCTATACAGCTCATTGCCGTTAGACAAGGTGGAATCTCTTGAAGATTTGGTGACCACTGGCCCTCTTGTCAAGGTAAACTATACTAAAGCTGTGAGTGGTCCATTTGAAAAGTTCTATTTGTTACATTAGCATTCAGCTGGTAAAGGGATTTACAATCCATCTTCCAGTTCAGTACCTTGTTTATCAGTTTTTTTTTTTTGTAAAGTTATCCTGTTTGTCTCAGAATCTCGTACTCGCTCTCTCTCTCTCTTACTTGTTTTTTAAGCCGTGTTTTATCTTGGCAGGGTACACCAATTAGCTCGAAGAATTCTTTGGCAGCATCAGCTTCTATTACACCTGTATGTGTGCCTTTTCGCTACTCTGCTATTGGCAATTGGAATTCAAATGAGAATAGAAAGCTAGGGTAGTGTGAATGTCAATGACTAGCTTAACCTTGCCCTCTTTCTTGCACAGAGAGAAAAAAGAATCTTCCTCAGGCTCTTGCTTTGCTGGGAAAAATATTATCAGGATAGATGATTTCTTACATTAATAGTTTTACCTGAATATGAAAATCATTTTCCATTGATGTCTTAGTTTTTCTTCGTTACTTTTTTTAGCTTATGGTCAGTGTGGTGACGTTGGTGTGCTCTCGTTCTATTCCTGTTATTGCTCAGTAATATGACTCAATTGTTACGTGGTTGTGTTGTTTCAGAGCACTGTTACCTCTACCCGACTGCAGAGTACGTTCCTGGAGCAGACTGAAGATAAAGCTTCGACTGTTAATTCTGACTCAATTCCAAAAACTCCTCTGTCCAAAATTAGTACAGCAGCAGCTTCACAAGCTAATGAGGCTCAGGCCACTCCTATATCTGTTAATGTTCCTTCTCAAAGTCTGACTGTGACAACAAAATTTACGGAGAACTCTGTAAATTCCCTTTCTCCTGTAAGCCCATCAATAGCTAAGGGAGAAGATGTGGCCAGCTTGCCTGGTAGGAGATTATCCCCATCCCTTGTGAGAAACAGTATCTCCATCCAATCGCCTTCACCAATCCCTCTATCTCCAGGTGGAGGTCCTAGTGGTGGAGCTCATAGTGGAGTTCCATTGGCCTCTGAAACCGCTAAAAGAAATACTTTAGAAATTGACAGCAGACTTGGTAATAATACCTCAGGACAACCACCAATGTCACCACTAAGTAACAGAATGATGTTGCCTCATGCCGCCAAAAGCAATGACGTAACCAGCGTGATTGATGTTAATCAGAGCGAGGCTAGTGTTATAGCCGGAAGAGCCTTTTCACCTTCCACGATATCTGGGATGCAGTGGAGACCTGGGAGTCCCTTCCAAAATCAGAGCGAAACTGTATGTTGTTTCTGTAAGACACTCATTTTGTGCATTCCTTATTGACAACGTTGTTTTTCAAACAAGCTATAATTATGTTTCATGTAGTGTTCTTCGGTTCTGCTTTTTTTGGATATATTTACCTTTTCTTCAGCTGGACAGGGGCGACTTTTCTAGAATAGTCATGGAGAAGTTCTGTTTTCTCGTGTTAATATGTTTCTGTATCTCAGGGCCAGTTCCCTGGAAGGCCTGAAATAGTACCTGATCAGAAGGAGATATTAATTATTACAAAATACGGATCGGATCGGATATGTCGAATAATTCAATTTTAATATCCGTATCCGATACGTATCCGACAAATATTCTAAAGAAATATCCGTATCCGATCCGTAAACTCCGGATATCCGAATTTTTTGTTCGGATACGAATCGAATAACGGATCGATTCGGATTTTTCGGATATTTTGACCACCCTTATACACGCAAGAGTATTTTGAGAATTAATTAACCATTTAAAATGAGTTGAAACAAAATAGTAATCGACTCGTGGGACATAAATCAGGGATTAAATAGAAAGAAATCCGACAAATATTCCGTTGTCGTCCAGCGGTTAGGATATCTGGCTTTCACCCAGGAGACCCGGGTTCGATTCCCGGCAACGGAAATTTTTAATTTATTAAAAAACTTTTAATTTTCCTGCGGAATGTTCGTTATTCTGCATTTCATTCGCAGGCATGGTACTTTCATTATGTGTCTGATATTAAATTTTCAGAGGAAATTATAATTTTTCTCCAAGATTTTTGGACCGTTGGATTTATATATAGAAGAGTTTATGGGTTTCGTTTCGATCATATTCATAAGTACCCGTAGGGATGGCCATTTTGGTTATTAACCGAACCGAATAAGAACGGTTCGGTTCGGTTATTTGCTTAATAACCGAACGGTTGAGGAAGTTAAATAACTGTTCGGGTTCGGTTTGGTTCGGTTAATAACCGAATAACCGCTGTTAACCGAACGGTTATTAGGGTTTTTATAATATTTTTATTTTTACCTTTATTATTATTAGTGTTATTTTTTTGTAGTTCATTTGTACTTTATGTGTTTCACCTAATAAACTATAATATTTAATATTTTTAACTTTTAACCTAATTATTGAAGTTTTTGTAGATTTTTTTATAACTTTTTTGGAGAATTAATTATTTTATGGATTTATTTGGATAGATATTTTGAAGTTTGTACATGATTAATATTTTTTTTTTAAAATATATCATAATCGAACCGAACCGATCTAAAATCGAACTGAATAAACCGAAAAATTTAACCGTTTGATTATAATTTTATTATGCAAAAACCGAACCGAACCGAACCGAACCGAATAAATCTATATAACCGTTTGGTTATGATTTTTTTATAACCGAAATAACCGAACCCGAAATAACCGAACTGAAAACCGAACCGAAATCCGAAATGGCCACCTCTAGATACCCGACCGAAGAAACTAAGAAGAAAGGAGAGTTTTGGTGTCGTCAGGAGAAAGAAAGAGACGTATCTGGGACGCGGCCAATAGCCAACAACGACTGGCAGTTTTGAGGCAAAATCGCCTTCTGAGGGTCCATGGCCCTCGCACCTCGTAGACAGAAATTCCTAGGGTTTTAAAGTTAAACCCGACCCGACCCATTAACCGACCGCTCCGCCTCTCGGGTCACACGCAAGTGACCTTTTGGTCTCGGCCTCCCCCTATCTCCCAAGGTACGGACGGCCGGATAACCCATTGCGACTCAAGATTCGGATCTCTAAAGCCGTCCCACTCGAACTAACTGTTCAACTACCTCATCGAACCCACGTTTTGGGTTCCGGAATGAAAAAGCCAGCCCTATTTATTTATCTAGGTGGAGTGCATATATTGAATTTTTCACCCCGATAATTATTGTTCGTCGACGTTTCCCGAATCATCGATAACGAAGCGAAAAACCGCCATCGAGGCAGACGTCTCTCGTCCTCTTCCTCCCTGCGGTGACGTCTAAAGTTTTGTCTTTTATGTATGCCCTTATTCCTACTTGATGCTCAAGTAGCTGATTATGGCGTCGAAACTGATTTGGGTTTCACCTTACGAAGTTGAAAACCAGCTCGAACTGTCTCTCCGTCAAGCCTTCGATATTCTCGAGCCGAAATTGCGGCCGCCGTTTTCCGTAACGATCCCAGACCCGGAAGAGTATGTTCAGCTGAACAGAGCCATCGTCTATGGCGTCTTGTGCTATCCCGATTTGGCTAAAGTGTACATCAGGTACTTACATGCTCTCATCACTGATGGGTACGCGTTATATACGAGTTTGCTCGTCGGAATTGTTAATGAATTGCACTGTAAGCTTGTTGATTGCGCTAAGAGTCAGTTGATTTGGGTTACGAAGGAAATGATCCACGTTTCGGCCGTGGGAATCGATGGTTTGCTCGTCTCTTTGTTGCGGAGAATTGTTGGTGGGGATTATGGGGATGAGAATGTTTGGTTGTGCTCTGAGTTGGCGAGTTTGTTCCTTGGCAAATGGGATTGCTTGTTGGAAGACGATCCCTTGGTTTTGACAAGTGCTTTGTACAGTTTTCTTCGTTTATTAGGGGATCATTGTCGGTTTCTGGGTATTGCGAAGTTGGAGAATGTGAGGAGAATGGAAAGCGAATTCTGTGTCAGAATGTTTAGGGAACAGCTGCATTTGTGTTTAAAGATCGGAAGGGACCTTCTACGGTTATTGCAGGACGTGCTCTATATCCCTGAATTTGGTGAAATATGGATGGATTTGGTTTTGAATCCATGTTCGTTTAGAACACCTGGATTTTCTGATATCTCACAGATCTACCAGTCGAGAACATCAAGTAGGTACTTCCTGCTTCGAATCACTCCTGAAATGGAAACCCAGTTGCGGTTTTTGCTTACTTATGTGAAATTGGGAAGCCAGATGCGGCACCAGACATGGTTTTGGAGGAAGTTTCTTTCACGCCCCGAAAAAGAAACCATTCTGATTGACATTGTTAGATTTATTTGTTGTGCCCATCATCCATCTAACAAAATTATTCAATCAGATGTTATTCCAAGGTGGGCTGTTATAGGTTGGCTTCTGAAACTGTGTAGGACGAATTACATTGAACACAATGTGAAACTAGCATTGTTTTATGATTGGTTGTTCTTTGATGAAAGGGCTGACAATATTATGAATGTCGAGCCTGCTATTCTCCTGATGGTGTGCTCAGTACCCCAATACCTGGACATAACTCAATCCTTGCTCGGGTTTTTGTTTCGCTTGGTGGACAATTATGACACAAATCGTCGAGATATGGTTATCAGGGGTGTGTCTTCAGCATTTAAAGAAGTTGTTCGGAAAGGAGTTATCTCTTCTCTGGATATTCTAGTAACATGTCCTGGCCTTGCACCATATCTCAAGGAGAATTTAGTTAGGTTTTTGACAAGCCATTCAGAGGGGGTTCCTCTCAATTTGCTACCAGTTAATGTTCTTTCTCTGACCCCACAAAAACATCATCCTTCACAAGCAAAAGAAAATGAATGCGGTACCGAAGCTGTTGATATTCCTGTTCCGATGTCAGACAATTCCTGTTTATCTCCTTGCCCATCAGTTCAGAATAGTGGTCAAACTCAGGCTGATTCGTTACAGAGTTTGGTTCAGTCTTTAGGAGAATCTCTTAAGCAGTCCAGTACAAAGGCACTTCAGTCCTTGGAGAATGTGCTTTTATCATTTATTCGTCTAGACAATCAGAGAGGTACATGTGATGTAATATCTCCTGAAGAGTTATCTTCTGAAATAGCAAAAGAATATGAAATTTCTGGCTACAATCTTTTCAGTCCTCTACAGCTTCAAGCTGACACTTCTGACCGGGACGAAGAAATAGAATCTCCAACGGCCTTAATAATTCGTACCTTTCTTTTTTATCAGGATGATAAAATGCAGCGGATGCTTTTGTTCTGGTTCAATAATGGATGCCAAGTTGGAGCCAGAATATTATCTTATGTATCAAGGTTAGCTTGTGAGGCATGTAAAATATGTTGTTTGGGAGATGGAGCAGGTGAAAGCACTCCCACGAAGTTAAGTGATCCAGCTTCCCAACTCCTGAAGTTTCATTTTGATGGGCATCAGTCTTTTCTGGGCCAAAATTCTACTCACCCTGAATTTGACAGTCAATGTGTGAGTAAGATGGTTGAGAATGCATTCCTTGGTTATCTGTCTTTCCAAAGGAGTTCAGGGAAAACTTCACAGAATGAAGCCAATGCTTTTCTTTCAGAACTTCTTTATACAGACCTCAAGTCTTGTTGTGAATGGGGTAGGAAAAGCATGAAGTATTTATTTTCTGGGATTTTTATCCATCTCCCAAATTTGTGCGTCAGCGATGAAAACATTATCAGATTACTTGTTGGTCAACTGGATCAAGCTGAGCTTCTTATCTTACACTTTGAGATCCGCTTGAAGAAAATTTCGGTTTTTGGCAGGGATTCTGATGCCATCTTAGATTTAATTAAGAAATCCTTTCGGTGGGACTTCATGGAGCAGCATAATCTTTGGGGTTTACTTAGATCAGAGATTTCAGTATCAGTTGTTCAGCTTGAAAAGATTGTCTTAGAATTTTTCTCCTGTGATGAGCTAGTAGCGAAGCCCAACGCCATTGCAGTTGAAGGGTTTCTGACACTGCTTAGCTCTCGAGTACCCACCCCTGAGCTTGTCGGTATGGTAATATTATTACCAAACAGCACAGTGCAGGACTTTGCTTCTAGTGTTTTAAGCTCATGGGCAGTGTCTAATGCCTCAACGCTTGTTCATAGCTTTGCGAAATCTCTGGAGAAACTTGAGAACCGCAACAAAGATATTTTCCCTAGGGATTCTTCGGGCATTGCAATGAACCGATCTGCTATGTGTTGGTTTTTGGATTATTTTAGTTCAAAGGGACTGGATATATCTGATGTCTTGAGAAGTTTCCATATGGACATCCCTGGATGATGCCCGATTATGCCTTTTTATGGAACAAGAATATCACAGGCAGCCTTTATTGCTTTGGTATGTTTCCTCTTGCTCTGCTTCATTTCAAACAAGCCTTCTCAGTATCAGCTAAAGATTTTGAAACAAGTTGGATTGAGTTCATGGTTTGAATTGTTCTCTGCCTCCATTTCCATTTACGTATAATGCCTTTTGAAGTCTTATGACAAATTGGGTTTACGTGATGTAGCATGCAAAGACCACTAGAATTATCGAAGTTTTTAGTTCACATATACACATCATGAATATTATGTTATAGAGGTACATGCACAGGGTAACCAGAGACGAGAAACACAAACAGAATATAAACTGAGAAACTGGACCTCACTCTTAAAGATTTTGACAAGTTTTTCATCTACTTGTTTGGACTCCGTTTTCTGTTTTGCTTTTGGTTTTTAAAGATTAGATGACAAATTTATTATTATATATGGTAGGTTTTTATATATTATTATCATTAATTCGTTATTACTATTAGATGTGGTAAAGCTTTAAATGCATTTGTTTCCTAGGCTAAATTCATAGTGAGGTTTGACCTCAGTTTTATTTGCAAAACCAAGTTATGTCTCTCTTCATTCATATCCATTCTATGCCTTTTTGTTCTTCAAGCTAGTTTTTCTATGAGCTGATCTTTGTGCCATGCTTCAACTGTAAGTGGTCTGTGAAACTCACTTCCGAGTTCGTCTTTGGTTCCTCTTTGGTCTGAACTGACAATAATATCTGAATTTGGTACCCTACTTGATGCAATCTGATATCATGGTTTCGTGCTATTTTTGCAGCGATAACTTCATCAACTTCAGTGTCCCGAGAGACTACTTGATTCAGATCCCCTTTGAAGACAGACCTGGCCTAACACAGATTCTGTGGCTTTCCCATGCGAATGCGGAAACAGACAAATAACTGGATTTGATCTCAAGAATATCACTATCAACTAAAATAAATGGCAACTCAGAATTCGACTGGTCGTATTGCTGCGCTTGCGATAGCGATTGTGAGCGTTTTCGGATGGTTAGCAAATTATCTTCTTTCTGAATCCATCCTGCTGACGCTTACCACTCATTTGCCAATGGTATTCTTCAGTCAGTAAGTTGTGTTTCCTGAAGTACTGTTAGAGCCTAACAGCTGGTTCTTGTTGACATGGAAATCTTATGTCTCAAGAGATGCATTAAACTCCTAAAAACAGTGTTTGTAAATAGATTTATAGATCCAAGTGTAGTTCAAGAGTTCTGTATAAGCCTTTTGTTCTGATAAATCCTTCAGTGGGTTCTCGGAGGCTTGTTTCCATTTAGAAAAGATGAAAACTTGTCACTCTCTCTTTAAAGTAGTAGCAAAAAACATATGTTTCTTTCCACTTACAGAACATCTGTATCTCAATTGAATACTGTTCCAAACATCTTAAACAACTCTCAGTTTCCAAAAATCTACAAGAATTGGACCCAAGTATGAATCCTACCAACTTCTTCACCATCCTGAATCTTATTCACAATAAGAATAATCACATTCCCAAATCTACATGGAATCAACCCCGACATGAGAAAACAATTCCAAACAAAATAAAAAATATAGAAAGAACCCAAGAAATCAATAAAAGAATCAGCAAGGAGAGCAAAATGTCATCCCCAGAGCATGAACCTGACCAACAATAGTATTGACCCTGCAGGTGAACCAGATTCTGCTTTCCTCGAACAGAAATATCCCCTTCCATGACTAATGTTTTCAGATAGAGAGATTATGAAAAATCACAATATCTACTCAGGAGAGCAATGTGTCAATCTTCAGAGCAAAATCCGGAACACCTTTCTCCAGTTTTGAGCAAAGATGTTGATCAAAATGCATGCTGAAATATCAAAACCAGGTCATTCGATGTTTAATACTGGAATCTCCTGGTAGTACTTAGATAAAGCTGTCAGATTCTTTCATGGTAAGCATACCCAGCTAGTACGTTTCGTGATTCCTCGTGAAAGCTTCTTCGTCTTCCTCATCAGGCTTAAACATTTCCCAGCTCCCTCCACATAGCCCAGTACTTAGAGTTGGGGATACCGGTGTATAGCTTGCTTGGCCTGCAATGTGATTACTTCAATCTATTGATGTGGTCTATAGAATACAAAGAGTAACATAGAAATATGGGTCAAGATCTATATACCTCTAAATGACGAAGTTCTCTCATAGTCTCTAGTTGAATGTAGCAAAATAGTCCCTGATAGCACCACTATGAATCCACATATCTCAGATGTGATGCTTCCTACACTTTGGCCATCCCAATCCTATCAAAGCACAGTTCATCTTTCAGATTTTCTCAAAAAAAGATTTTTCCAGACCTGGGAAATGGTTGAGGTGTTTGTCGGCAGTTAGCCTAGCTGTTTCAGTTTTCTAAGAAAGACTACTAGCTGAAAGTTGTAATGTTCTGTCAGAAAAGCAAATTGTTTTGGCTCCATCAAACATTCATCTCATAATGTTCCACCTGATATAAAATTTTACGAAACTGAGCAAACCCTAAGTCCCATCTGCTCAACCTAAAGTGCTGCAACTCAACCAAGTAGAAAGGTCCCAACTTGTTCAGTGTTTCACTTTCAGATGGATATTCTAGATTCGAAGCTAGGAGCAAGGTTAACAAAATATAAGTGGGTTTCCAAGGACAATAATTCCCTTACCTTGAACATTATCACACTGGCTACTATAGTCAGGGAAGTGAACATGACATAATATATTGGGGAGACAATGGCAGTGTTGAATGTATCAAGAGCCTGACATCATATGAAAAAAAATTTAGCATACAAGCAGCAGCAGAAGAACCTAAATGCTTATGGAGAACTTAAATGCATAACTCTGATCAGTCACGAAAAGCAAAGGTGTTATGTTTGTAAATTTTCACAGTTTTCACAAGCACACTACCTTATTTAGATAATTCATCTGTGTGACCACACATGTTGCAACTACAAGCATGAAGAACCATGTCTCTGGATAGACTAACTGGTTATTTCCCTCAAATGTCAACTTGAGTGCCGTTCCAAGGGCTTTAACACTCATCACCTGCAGGTTCACTTTGAATGTAAAAATATGTAATAGCAATATCGAACTTAACAAAGAACGAGAAAAGAATCATAAAGATTTATTTCCTTAAAAGAAGGGACCAATAGAGTGAACTATTTTGCCACAACAAAGGAATCAATTTTTTCTTCTCCTTTCATGGTATAACCTATGCAACAATTTTCCATTTGTCATCTTGACATAATCGCACTATAGAGCAACCACATTGAGAACGAAACAATGCTCAGTCATGCTGTATATTTTATGGACAAGGAATTTTCAATAACATGAAAGAACTAGTTCATGGACTAGCTTTAGATACTTACAGAGAGAGAACCCATCAGAGAACAAATGCTGATAAAAACTAGCACATTTGTCTGCCCATATCGTGGGGCGTAATGGAAGATCAAGATCAGAACCAAGACAATGACGGCTCCCACGTAAGACAAGAAGGCTGTGGAACAGAACATGTCATTATGGAGACAAAAGCTAAGTGGCAGTAAAGATACAAAATTTTAAGAGAGCACTGACAAATTTGAGTTGCCATAACCCATATCTCATGAACTGAAGTGATCGGATGCTCTTCTGGTGCATGTACGACAATAACAACTGAACCGATAATGCACATCACACATCCCAAAATCCCTTGCTGGTGCAAATTTTCATTCAAGACAAAATGAGCCAGCACAGCACTACAAAACAACAACCTATAATGTTAGAAAAGCTCCATGGAAAGACATTACCTTGATTTTCTATTATATATGTATAATATCTCATGAAAAGAATTGAGCAGGAGTTGAACCTGACAATAATGCTGAGAGCCCCAAGAGGGGTAACGAGAACAGCTGGGGCGAATGCATACGCCACAAAGTTTGCGACCTCACCCACAATCACTACATAATATAAGGCAAGCCATTAAGCTGTCATGAAAAGCATCAGAGAAGACTGAGCTGAATGCTGAGCAATTTGCTCGAATTGATATGAGCATTCTTTAGTCGATTCCATTACCTATTTGGTCATGGATCTTTGTGCAAATTTACGAAAGCAATTCATATACAGTAATCAACCACCTAACAAATTTGATATGAGCATGCTACAACTGAATCGCCAACAAGTGCCACAATACAGCAATACCCATAAAGAATAAAATTTTGAATTTTTGAAATGCTTTGCTACAAGGACGCTGAATCATCAGAAGTTACTAGATTCACAACACCAATAATATGGACATTGCTCTAATCTATTGTGTCTTCAACTTGGATTTCAACTTGGAACGTTCAGGTGACAATAACATTTCAATCCATTTCATGTGACTGATTATATGGGCAAACCCAAAATATTGACAGATACGAATTGCAAAAACAGTATGAAACCCATTTAAGAAAAAGGAAGTAGAGGAGAAATTACTCATGATCATGCCCAACCACCATAGAGGCTCCAAGAGATAGGAAAACCCACCAACACCTGAAAATCAAAACACAATTACAAAATACGAAGAAACTGGTACGAGAAAACAAAATCGAATCGTAAATTATTGCACAAATGAAACCCTAAAAAAGCCAAATTTCGGAGAGAAAACCCACCAGCGCTAACACCAGTCGCAGCAGCAGCTCGTCTTAGACCCTTCTTCTTGATAATGAAGCTTGAGCCGATGAACAAACTTGACGATAGCGCCAAAACGATGCCCGTGAGATTATCTCCGGAGAGACCCATCTTACGATTTCTCGATCTTTTCCAGAAGAAAATTTTCAACTTTTGCTTTTTGGGTCTTCTTTGCTCTTCATTGAAACATCTGAATGATTGGAATTTGGATCATCGTACGTAGTTCTTCCACTTTTTGCAAATCTTTGTCAGAGTATAATCACATCTGGTGTTGACCCAGATGGAAAAGATTCCAATGCCACGCAGCCAACTGTATTCATTCTTTTACTTTTATTAACGGTGGGAATTTAGTTGTCTTTTTAGGGGGGTTTTTAAATATCAAATTAATTTTTTTATATCAATTCATATATTTTTTATTGAATTTAAATTCAGTTCTTTTCTATTCCATTCTTATTAAACAATATTTATTTTAATTTTATCTTTATTGAAATTTTTCGATGTTATTAAAAATTATATTAATTTAATTTAAAAGCTAGATTCTATAGAATTTTTTAATTTATATATGATTAGTTTCAAATAATATTATATAGTAGTCCCTTTAATTTCATTTAATTGTATCTAAATGTTGAATCTTATTTATAAAAGATATTTTTTTTGGTGTTGTCCAAAAAGAAATTATACGTCTTTCGGCCATTTTTATTTTTATTTTAGAAGAATTTATAATGGAAAAGAACTACAATTATCCTGACAAAAATGGAAAATGAAAGGCTTACTCCTTATTTTTTTTCCCTAATACATCATAAGTTATCTAAGAATTTTTTTACATTTTCGATTATTATTATTGTTATTATTATTATTATTATTATTATTATTATTATTATTATTATTATTATTATTATTATTTAAGCGGTTGCTGTCGGAACTATTTTCGGTTAACCCGTAACCGTTTTGGTTCTGGTTCGACCATCTCAAACCAGAATGGTTCGGTTAAGTAACGTGATTTGTTCAAAAGCCCTAACCGCAACAAGGCCTCTAAAATCCCGAGACCAAAATTTACTCTCAGCGACCTCATCTTGTCCGACGTAGTTGCCTTATCCCGGCGGCGGATAATTCCGGCAGATTTCTCTTGTGTATCTCCCGGGGGATGAATCTGAAGTCTGGAAACTGAACTTTTCCGGTAAAGAGACTATGGCAACGGTCAGACATTTCTTAAACCCTCGCCGAAACCCTGGTTACCTTAGTCTCTGTTCGGAGCTCTTCTCCTCGGCCGCTTCTCTGGGTTCACCTTTCACGGACACAGGGACGATTTTGAGATCCCTTTGTGAAAAACCAAACCCTCAGTTTGAGGATGCCGTTTCGCTCTTCGACCGGGCGGTGAATTCCGGTGGCAATCTTACTTTCGCCGGAAACTATCTGATGTCAAATCTGGTGAAGTCTCAGAAATACGAATTAGCATTCTCGGTTTATCATAAGATGGTTTATGCCGCTATTTCCACCAATTTTCTATCGTTGAGTGGGTTGCTTGAATGTTTTGTTCAAATGGATAGGATCGAGTTTGCGCATGGAGTTCTAGGGTTGATGACGAAGCGTGGGTATAATTTCCATGTATACAACTTTAACATTCTCTTGAAGGGTTTATGTAGGGACCGGGAATTCGATAAGGCTATTAGTTTGGTGAGGGAAATGAGGAAAAATTCTCCCTTTCCTGATGCTGTCAGTTACAATACAATTGTACGGGGTTTCTGTGAGGAGAAAGAGTTGGAGAAAGCATTGCAGTTATTGCATGAAATGGAAGCCAATGGCTCACATCCGAGTTTGGTAACTTGGGGGATTTTGATCGATGCCTTTCGCAAGGTTGGTAATATGGAAAAAGCAATGGCCTTGCACGAGGACATGAGACGTAAGGGGATTGAGGCAGATGCTGTTGTGTATTATGTACTCATTCGGGGGTTATGTGACCGCAGTGAGGTTGCTAAAGGGAAAGCACTCTTAGATGAGATGCTCGAAAAAGGCATTTCCCCTGATGTAATTGCATATAATACTCTTATTCGAGGATTTTGCAAGGTAGGACAGTTGAAAGAAGCTTCGGAAATGTTTGAGGTTATGATTCAACGTGGGGTTCGCCCAAATGTTTATACATACACGGTTCTAATCGATGGTCTCTGCAGTCTAGATAAGACCAAGGAAGCCCTGCAAATCTTTAACCTAATGGTGGAGAAGGATGAAGAACCAAACGTCGTGACATATAACATCATTCTTAATAAGCTGTGCAAGGATGGCCTTGTGAGTGAAGCATTTAAGGTTGTTGAACTAATGAAGAAGAGGAATACAAAACCTGATGTCATAACATACAATATTTTGTTGTCGGGTCACTGTGTGAAAGGTGAACTGGATGAAGCATTGGAGCTTTTCAATCTGATGCTGAATGATAAGAATTATGTTGCGCCAGATATCAGATCTTTTAATGTGCTCATTTATGAACTCAGCATAGCAAATCGTCTTCATCAAGCTTTAGATCTCTACGATTTGTTGGTCAAGAAGTTGGGCCCTGGAGATTCAGTGACTGTTAATATTTTGCTCTGTGAAACTCTCAAATCTGGTGATGTGAAGAAGGCCATGGAACTCTGGAAACGTGTGGTTGGTTTGGGAGTTATTCCGGATTCAAGCTCCTATTCATCTTTGATTGATGGGTTTTGCGAAATTGGCATGCTTAACTTTGCAAAGGGACTGTTTTGTAAAATGAGACGCTCCGGATTTCGGCCTGTCGTTAGGGACTACAACTGTATAATGGCATCATTGTGCAAAGAGAGCAGCTTGGAGCAAGCAAGGAAGTTGTTTGAAGAAATGCATCGTGGTAACATTGTTCCCGACAATTTTTCTTTCAATATTATGATAGATGGAAGTCTCAAAGCTGGGGATATTAGTTCTGCAAAGTCACTACTCAAGGAGATGTCCCGATTCAGTCTTTCTCCTGATAAGTTTACATATTCGTTGATGATAAATAGGTTCCTAAAACTTGGGCATTTAGACGAGGCCGTTAGTTCGTTTGACAGAATGGTTGCGAGTGGCTTTTCACCTGATGCCTATGTTTGCGATTCTGTGTTGAAGTATTGCATTTCGAAGGGACAGACGGACAAGTTGATAGAGCTTCTTCAGAAACTTGGGGAGGTAGATATTGTGCTTGACCAGGAATTGTCTTGTACCATCATGGAATATGTCTGCAGTAGCTCTGTGGACATGGATCTTGTGAAGCGGTTGCTGAAAATTCCTGATGATACACGGCAAGAGGATAAGTAGGGTTCTTAGTTAGTCATTGTCGGTTGATGGATTTAAGCTGGGGAAATATGGATCAGAAGCTGAGATAGCTTGGATTCAGGCTGTCCATCATCAGGCCTTGGTGGGTGGTTTCTGCTATTTTAGGATGGTAATTCCTTCTGCCCTTCATTCCATCCTGCTTGAAGCTGAAACCTTTGTGGGTTTGGCGTATAAATCTAAGTATGCTGTCTGATTATCGAGGAACGAACTCATGCCATGTCTGAATCGACAACAACAACAACAGCGCCATCTCTTCCGTCCGGAAAATTTTTGGTTGGAGACAGAATGTTATCCCGTTTGAATTAAATATGGTGTTTTCATATAAACATATACTTAGTATTTTATTATTAGACTATTTTCTTACACCTATAACTTTTCATGCAACTGCTCCATTAGAATCTGTAGAATCTTGAAATCCCTCCCTATAATCTCGTTTTTCCTTAGTCTTAGGTTTACTCTACGCATATAATCCCTTCTACAATCATTTGACAATATAATTTTCTCACAACTTTCTCAAATTTTATATGACATCAGAGATGATTGAGATAGATAAATATCAGTTTTTTTTTATCCTAACATTATTGTTTAAAAAAACCAGAAATTTTGTTTAATTTAAATATTTTCGTAGTTTTTGACTATATATCCTTGGAAAAACAAGAAGTGTCGATTGGTGAAAAGAAAGGAATATAGAATGAAACGAGACAAGAAAATACGTAGAGATCGGTTATCGTATTACCAAAAAAAAAATATAAATACAACTAAATCTTAAAATTTAAAAATAATTTGTATTGGAGGGACACCCCACGCGACAATAACTATTATCTGAACCCGAATCCAAAAACTCGGATATTCTAATATTATTATCCCATCTCGTATTTTATTCTCTGGGATATCCGAAATTTGAGGTACCGGATCCACCAGTCAAATTGGGTGCCCGAAATTTGAGTTTTTTTTGTCCAGTCCTAGTATGTATGTAACCAAAGGAGACTAAACGAGGTCATAAATAATAACAAAAGTATTCTTCATCCATGCACAGGAATACATAACTCGGTTCATACATCACATCAGTTATATATCCAAATATTACATAATCATATTGTTATTCGAAGAAGAATGAAATGGGATTTATTCCGTCGGATGGTAGGAGAAGCCATTGATGGTGAGACCTCCATCAACACAAATGGTCTGGCCAGTTATGTAAGAAGCCGTCGGCATACACAGGAACGCCACTAGCGATGAGATCTCCTTTGGCTCTCCAAGACGGCCTAATGGAGTTCTTGAGCGCACAATCTTCGTGAATTTGTCGTCATCCAGAAACTAAATACCACAATTTTTACAGAAATTATATTTAGTGAAGGATCAAAGATTAATGAATTGAGCTTAAAAATATTACGACAATGGATGGAACTAGGGTTTTACTTACCGGATCACTCATAGGGGTTGCAACGAGGCCAGGAGCGACTGAATTTGATCTTATGTTGTCCACTGCCCATTCGCATGCTAGATTTTTTGCCAACTGGTTCATGGCCCCTGCATGCGTACAACACGTTTTAATACGCGTGCATGCTACCATGATCATGTCGTTCATAATCGTGTTAATTCTTCTCTAAGTTAGTGAATTATTCTTTCTTCTCTCACTTGCTTTTCGGTTTGGGATTCAGACAAAGGGTTCTCACTTTATTCCAAGGGCGTGAAGGTAATATGTTGTCTCTGTGTGTTAAGGGAAAATCTCATGGTCAGTTTTAGTTCTTGATACTGTAATAGCTAGGCAAAAGTTTATTGATTGATGTGAAACTATGTCGGTTTAGTCCCGCCGTGGTGGTCTGGTGGTGTGGGAGCATAAAGTGCTTCTCCACGTCCCAGGTTCGAACCCACCGGGACAATCACATAATAAAAAAAAAAAAAAAACTATGTCGGTTTACCGTTACTTTTAACCGCGAGGTGAAGTGTGTACCTTTTGTTGCACCATAGATGGATCCAAGAATACACGACACAACGCCACCGATAGAAGAGTTGAAGACGATGCTTCCATAGCCTGAAGCCTTCAAGAGAGGATGAGCGAGCTGGCAGAGATGGTAAGCCGACTCGAAATTCGTAGCCATCTGACATGAGAAATCTTCTGCTGTCATTTCTATTGTTGGCTTTCCCACGTATATTCCGACGTTGTTTATCTGCATCAAGAAAGGGGAAACCATTCCACAATCTGGTGAATGTTTTAAACAAATAAAAAAAAATTGTAGAAATCATTCAAGTTAGTGTGAGATACACTTACTAGAATGTCGAGTTTGCCACCGAATAGAGAGGAGACGGTCTGCATCAGCTTCTCTCTCGCGAGTCGAGATGATACATCACAGACTGATCCACTCACTTGAAGGCCCTTCTCTCTCCATTCGCGTAAACTTTGGTTTAGATGAGATTCGGAATTGTCGCACGTGTGGACTATCGCCCCCAACCCAGCTAGTTCCTCCACTATGGCATGCCTGTAAGAACATTATATTTTTTTTTTAAATATATCCAACACATCTAAGATCGAAACAGTTTTCCGATATTCTACGTATCTAAGATGCTTATTGTCACATAAAAAGACAGACAAGATCTATCCAACACAGAAGAAGACGAACCCTAGCCCTCTTGCTCCACCGGTTACAAGAGCTGTCTTGCCCTGAAGGCTCCACCTTTGTTCCATTTCTGTAGAGTATGGCTTTGAACACAAGCAACTTAAACGAACAATGCATTTGACAAACTTATACCACAGACCTTATATTTGAAGGAAGATAACAAAGACGGTCAGAAACAGCATGCCGACGACAGGAACATTTTTTTTTTTCAAAGCACAGTACGATAGAACAATTAAGACATGCGTCCACATTAAAAAAAAAAATCTTTTTGTTGTATAATTTGAAATATAATTTTATCTATTTAAAATACATGTTTTAAGTATAAAACATATGTGCGTGTTGACTAGTTATTTAAATATTTAAATTTGTTTTAAACGTTAGAATTCATTTTCTACTAAATTTTGACGCGAAACTCGTTCGATGTTTTAACGCAATTACATCGCTATAAAATATAAGAAATATTTTCACAACAAAAAAATGTTATAAAAACATTTGAGTACTCAATATTTTTTTTTTTTTGGGTGTAGCTATTATCCTTCACATGATGGCTACATTGCATTGGTACAACATCATTATATACATCGATATGATTTCTCGTTCTTTTATAATGTTTTTTTTTTTTTTTTATAATTATGCCTTCTTCGACTCTCGATATACATCATGTCCATAGATTCTTCATCTTTTTTTTTCCCATTCTCTTAACTTTATTTTTATATTTTTAAGGCAAATTGGATTATTTTAAGGAATTTCTTTAGCACTTTCTGTTTCCTCTATCGACCCTCTCATAAACATATCCTGATTTAGCTCGCATCAATCTCTTAATCCTGATTTAGTTTTTCATAACTTGAAATTTTATTTTTATTATTTATTAATATTTTATTGTAATTTCTTCATTATTATATTTTAAAATTTAATTATTATTAAAAAATAATAGATTTTATTTTAAAATAATAATAATTGGTACTATATAAAAAAATACTCTCCCTCTACTATTTTGATTTCAATACATACTCTTCTCCAAATATGAGCCTATGACCTATGTGATAAAAAATATAGTGTGATCACATATTGATCTCATTGGTCATAACATTAAATTTATGGTGACCATACTAATTCATTACATTCATCCTTTCCATATCTCACTAATTATTTGATAAAAATATTATAAATTACACGTTATGACCAATGGAACCAACATGTGATCAAACTATATTTTTGGTCACATAGGTCACATGGTCACAGTTGGAGAATGATATCTGTTGAAGTCAAAATAGCAAAGGGAAAATATTTTTGATAATGCTCCTAACAAATTTAATAAAAAGAGTTTTATTAAAAAATTGTTATATTAAACCTTTTTTTAAAAATAATAGTTTCATTTTTAATACTCACGTGAATTTAGTTTTTAATTAATTTATTAAGTTAGATAGATATAATTTTTTAGAAGGGTTGATGTGACCTCACCAAATTATATATTAGATTTTTAAAAAATATACTTTATAACAAAATTTTAAATTTTATGATTAATTATGCCAACTAAATTGCGAACTACGACAACGTACTGACTACATCGCACATATCGATGAAATATGATGGTATTTTCTGTCGCAATTAGGGACGGATGGCCGATGGAACATTCTGTCGTAGTGTGCGATAACCGTCGGACAGATGATGTGGTCGCAATAGCAATAGAATACGTCTGTCATAACTTGCGACGAAACTTACAGTTGAACACCATCGTAACTTGTGACGGAGCAGCGACTCCAATACATTTGCAGCAGCTCTATATCGACGGAATTCCATCCATTGAAATCAGTCGGAAACCATAAATTGCGACGAATTTGCAATATATAGTGCATTCAGCGTCTAACTTAATTCTACACCGACCAGACTTCAAGCAACACTCACAAAAAAAAGCCAGATTTGGTGTTACAAAATAAATTAAGGATATAGAATACATATCGTATATATTTTTCAAGGGATTGATATCTTCTTTATACTCCTAACATATTTCTAGTTCTTCACTATCGTTAGAGAGTAAGACTAAAAATTACCAGATTGGTCGTCTCAAATTTTCATGGGCTCAGTACATTTTATAAAATTTAATTAATAAAAATTATAAATTTATATAATAAAAAATATTATTATTAAAAGTATTATTAATAAAAATATAAAATTATACAATACAAATTAATAATAAATTTATTTAATGATTTTGAAAAATTATTAATTTTGAAAAAACTATTTAGTTATCATCAATAAATTTTGTAACATTTGTATGTATTAATGATAATAATATTGATTTATAAAGGAAATCTATAAATTAGGATTCATAAATACAAACTATTTTAAAATTTTAAATTAAAAAAAATTAATTTTTATAATATATTTATTTATTTTTTCTATAATAATTATATACCGTAATTATATCTAAAAAATATTGGAATAATGATTTCAATTAATATCAAATTATAAGAGATATTTTATTTTTTTATAATTATTTATAATTAATGAGAACAATTATTTTTTAAAAACTGGGACCACAAATTAATGGGGCCCTGTTCAATGTTTTGGTGCACTTGTTAAAAGACGGTCGTGTTTAGAGCACTTGTATTGTGATATCTAGTAGTCAAATTCATGTTCTAGAAACGTGGAGGTGTTTCGATATTTCCTAATAAATCACATTTTTACTTCATAATTATACATCACTATATTAAGATGCGGAACACAATTTTCATAGTTTTGATCTAAAATAAAAGAAAACCATTGTAACTATGAAAATAGATCATTAAATTGTTTAGGTGTGATATATGCTAAGAGACGACGCATAGAAATGTTTTTTCAAGACACTCCTGTATTTTTTTTTCCGGATATTTAGAGACTTTCGATGGCTAAGGATTTATTAAGGTACAAAAAATATAAAAGTTTATGTTCCAAACCTATGTGTTTTAAACTAGGGAAAAACTCTTAAAAAAACCTCAAACTTGCAAAAAAAAAAAAATATACAAATAAACCTTCAATTTATAAAGCTTTAATTTAAATCCCAAAACTTGCTATATGTAAATGAATAAAATCTCGAACTTGCAAATTATTGTTCTAATAAACCATTGATCTGTTTGACCACAATTTCAGGTGATTGAAAATCCACGTTGGCTCAGGAAGTTGATGTCACTGTGTCCATTTAACCAACTTTAAATGATTTTTTCCTCCAAAATATGATTTATTTACTCTCAAGCTGGATTAAATTTCGAACAAAAAAATATTGATGTGGAAAAAAATCATTTGAAGTCGGTTATATGGATACGCTAACATCAATTTTTTGGGCTAACGTGGATTTTCGATGGCATGAAATTGTGGTCAACCGGTAAACGGGTTATTAGAACAACATTTACAAGTTCGGGGTTTTATTCATTTATATGTTGCAAGTTTGAGGTTTAAATGACATCTTTACAAGTTTAAGATTTATTTGTATATTGTTTTGCAAGTTTGAGGTTTTTTATGGAGTTTTCCGTTTAAATTATTGTCAACCAACGAGTCATCTTATGATACCCGTAACCCGTGTACAGTATACAGGTTGTGCCACATGGACGAATATGAAATAAAATAATAGTTTGGCAAAAATACGAAATCCAAAAACATTTTAATCAAACCAGAGTAAGAGTACGCAGCGAAAATACAACGCGATCAATATCGCAAAACTACACATGTCCGAAAAGTAATCGACACACCGTACAAAATATGGGAACACAATTCCCGTAGTCCAAAACACAAAACCCATACATGATGTTGCCTCTCTCTCTGGTCGTCGTCGTCCCACGTGCTAAGCGTAATCCTCGTGATCTGAAAAATATAAAACCATGAGTATATAACATGCTACATCCATCACAACCATATCAATCACAAACATACCCGTATGGAGTCCTCCATAGGGTTTCAGCCCCATATCCTAGCCAAGTCAGCATGGCTAGGGGCGCACCACGCGCACCCATCACTCGCGTGACGTTGGCCGACGCGTCACCCGCGACACACGCGTATCACGCGCTGGTCACACTCGTGACCACCCGATGTCAACTCAGCATGACACAGACGGGAAAGTATCCACCCACCATAGGGTTTCCAGCTATAAACCCTAGCCAAGTCAGCATGGCTAGGGGCGAGTCCACGCCCATCAAGTCCATGACGTTGGCCGTGTCAAGTCAGCATGACACAATAAAACCGTAACACACCCGTATGGAGTCCACCATAGGGTTTCCAGCCATAAGCCCTAGTCAAGTCAGCATGACTAGGAGCGAATCCACGCCCGTCAAGTCCATGACGTTGGCCGTCGCATCGCATGCGACCATATCACAATCACGCTTCACTCGTACCGCGCGAGCGAAGCTACAACCATGGCACACATCGAACATACATTTTAACCCCAGTACAATCACGCGTAAACCCGGTATTCGGTCCTGACCGATACACCGTTTAACGCCATACAAACTACCCAAATGATCACACAACGAACCCCACTCATTATTTAATTCGCAAATCTCACCGCGCGTCATAATTCAGAACTTTTCCCAATTTTGAGTTTTTGAGCCTGGACCGGTCGGTCTACAGTCTGGACCGGTCGGTCCAGGCGTTCGGCTTCAGATCGAGACCCTTCGGTCTTGTGTTGGTCTGGACCGGTCGATCCAGGGGTTCCGTCTCCCCTTGAGACATATCGGTCTGGCCTGTGTCTGGACCGATCGGTCTCGGTCCAGACCGGTCGGTCCAGATCTGGGCGATGAACAGATCGCGATCTCGCGATTTTCCCAGATCCGATCCGAACTTCGGTTGCCCGTAACTCCCTCGTTTCTTGGCCAAATCGAGTGTCGTTTGTTGCTACGTGTTCGTTTAAGTGCCCTCTATAATCCCCAATCAATAAACCATCGAAAACAACACAGAAACACGACGAAAATGAGCTCACACAGATCGGACTCGGGCCACTCACCTTGAATCAGATTTGGATCTGATTTTCGCCGGCTTTCTCGCCGTTTCCAGTTGGTTTCTCGCCAGAAACGTTTCCTAGATACTCTAGGGCAGTCCCCCTTGGTGTCCACGAGCTCCCTTTGGGTCGAATCCTCCTGGTTTTTGGCCTCTCTCGCGTTCTCTCTCTCTTTTC